ATAGTTACAGGGTATTAGAAAACCTCATCACAATCAATTTAGCTCCGCTGCGCCTCGTCGCTTCTTGTCGCTGGGAATTGACTTTTTGCAGCTTTTGTTGTTGTTGTTGTTGTTGCTTGGCCCACATTATCTAGTGAACGTTGAACGCTTTCGTGCCTCTGTTGTTGTTGTTGTTGTTGTTTTTCTTCAGTTTTTTTTTTTTTTTGTTGTCTACATGTGTTTAGCGTGTTCAGAAATTTGCTTTTTTAATGACGCTCTTGTTGATTGCGGCTTGTTTGTTTTTACTAAACCCGCCATATCATGTTCCACGCACCCCACACACCCTTCCCCACCCCTACCCCTACCCCTTCCTTTGCCCCTCCCTCAGTTAAACGTTCAGTCGGCCTTTAACATTCGTTTATTATGAAATGTTGTACAAATCTTTGCGTACAAATTCGCATATAAAATTTTTAATGTTCAATTTATTATCTGTTGCTTGATTTGTGTTTTATTATTATTATTTTTGTTTTTTATTTTTTTTTTGATTGTTTTAAATGGAAAAATTTGCAATGACTTGTCATCAAGCCGAACAATTTGAAATTGTTATTGATTAGACGCAATTAAAATGGATGCTTTGTATAAATAAAACACTTGGCCGCAAATTAGAACGCTTTGGTTCAGAGGTTATTTTAATTTGCAAAAGGAATTTGCAATTTCCAGAAGCTCGACTTTTTAGTATAGTCAATTAATGAATATTGTATGCAAAAGGTCATCAAAAATATAGTTTGGTAAAATAAAAGTTTTAGCAAATTCATAGAAAAAACCTATTCTACTTTCTAGACAATTCCTCGAACTTCTTAGCTGGCCGAGAATTTTCTCTCTTAACGTACAAGGTAAAGAATAAATTTTTCTTGTTTTTTAATACCTGAATCTTTCAGTTAGCTTTCAATCTAATTTTGAATACAATCAATGAATATATTTAGTATACAAAAATCGTAAGAATATATAACTCCCCAATAAAAACACTTAATCTTATACTTCATAGATAACAGATTATTATACCTTCTAGGCAAATCAAGTTTCCATAACTTCTTATATTGCCTGGCAAACATTTTACCATACAAGAAAAATCGTCTTTAATCTACTTTTAAATACAATAAAACATAAAATAATACCTTTATCTTATATATGGACAAAAGTCATTTCTACTTTCTAGTCAATTCTTGTTTCTTCTCCCCAGCAAACATTTTAACATAGAAGAATAACAATAACTTTTGTTGCTTCATTTTTAATCCCTCCTGCTTAGTTCCCGATCTACATCTTTATAAATACTCCTACATCATCTCTTCCCCCCAACTTCATTCAAATCACAAGTCTTCAAATATTCCCTCAAACGTTTAACATCATTTTTATAGCATAAACATTTAACAGTAGCTTAATATTATATTTATTATTCAATTGTACGCTCATTTATAATCGTAGTCATCAATTTCTTCTTCTTCTTCTTTCAGCTCTTATTATCTGTTTTATAGTTTTACACAATTGAAATTTGTGCTGCAAGCTGAAAAGTTCGCAGTCAATTTGCATGGGCGTATTGAAACGAGCGAAACGAACAAAAGGCGTTTGTCACTGTCAGACATTTATGAGAATTGAACAAATCAATTTGCTTTAATCGTGTCGCCGAGGCGGGGCCCTGACAAATGGCCCAACTAAGTGACTGCAACAACTGTGTGACTGTGACTGGTTTATTATGGAGCATTACCGGGAGCAATACGAGTGGCATTTGCAACAATTTTAAGAGCCATTCAGGTTGAGGGAAAATTAAATTGTGGCTTAAATTCAATTGTTGCGCGCTTTTATTAACTGTTTTTATGCTTTGTTAACAGAACGAAGCAATTCGAACAGCTCTCATGTTAAGCTAAAGAGCTTAACAGCGTATTAATGTTAGTGTAACAGAGTTCAATTTACATTGAAGCTGTTAGACTGTTAATAAAGTGCAGCAACGGAAACTGTTTCATGAAATGCATACGAATATGTATATTTTATGTTAACTTAAGCTTAACAGCTTTAGATTAACATTTGGTTCGATATGCTGTTGACTAAGAGCAGAAGCAAAAAAGCAACAGAAACTCATCAAAGCAATGTCATGTTATATGGTTAATGTTAATGTTAACTTGAGCTTAACAGCATTAAGCTAACGTATTGTGTATTCTAATGTTAATTAGGGACAGAAACAACAGCAAAAAGAAACTCATCAAAGCAATGATTTGGCAGCAACCAAGTCTTTAACTAAATATAATTATATGTGTGTGTGTATGCATGCATGTGTGTGTGAGTGTATGTGTGCATGGAATGTTTTGTCAGGCAATTGACACATTTGTAGCGTTGAAATTGTTATCGTCTCGAGGCGCAGAACGGTGGCAAATGCCAAACAACCAACAACAACAGCAACAACAAAGCCAATTACACTTTGCAGAAAAAAAAGGCAAAAGCTCCCAACGCGCCAACTAAAAGTCAGTTAACGTGTGTGTGTGTGCGAGCGTGTGTGTGTGTGTGTGTGTATCTTGTACAAGTCTTGCCTGCTGCTGTTGTTTTTGTTGTTATTGTTGCTGCGAGCAACTTTTACCAGCGTTGCCAGCGACTCCGACAGTGTGACAAATTATTATGTGTGCTTGTATATGTGTATAAATGTGTCTGTGTGTGTGTGTGTGTGTGTGTAATACATGCATATGGGGCATAGGCAGCAGGCAGGCAGCTTTGGCCTGCCTGTCGCTGGCGGCGCTGCTGGTGCTAATGACCGTAACTAAGTTGGCGTCACGATTGTGCGCGCCACTGCCAGCTAGCCTCCCCCCTCCCCCCCTCTGCAGTACTACAACAGAACCCCCCTCCCCCCCTGCCTGACACTTGTGTTGCTTTTGTTTTTGGCTTTTGCGGTTGCTCAGCTGCCTGGCCCGGCTTGGCTCTGCTTGGTTTGGCTTGGGCCGGCGCGGCGCGGCGCGGCGCGGCGCGGCGCTGTTGCCCATTTGTGTAAAGCATTTTTAATGTTATGACCGAGAGAGCGCGTCTAATAGACGCTTAATTGTGCGGCTGCTGCTCTGGCTGCGGCTGCGGCTGCTGTATCTATCGGTTGTATCTGTCGCTGTATCTGTATCTGTATCGGCATCTGTATCCGATGACTGGCTGTCGTTGTCGTTGTCGTTGTTGTTCTCTTTCATTATGTATGTTTACAAAGCGTTTAACGCAGTTCGTTGGCTTAATTGTGGGACGGCGTAGGGAAAACAAAAAAGCGGCGCATCTGTCAGATACATTTCAATAAAGATGCAAAAGGCAATTTCCGGCCTTTTAAAGGGATTGTTCAGGTTGTGAATTAGGTGTTGATTGTAGAAGGTGCACATTATGCAACATTTAACCTGTTATATTATGGCTTTAAAGCAACAACTTTACGAAGATACAGATAAAGATACAGATACATCACATATAATTTCATTCATGTCATAAATTGTTTGCTGATAATTATAATTCAAATCTCAACAGTTTTTAGTTTTAACTCCTAAAAGAGTGCTACTTAATTGCAATATTTCGGATTAATTCTTGGAAAATGAATAAACTTAATTTAACTTTATTATGTCTCAAATGCAAACACATACAACTTTACCGTGCTTGGCCTTCGAATTACGCATATGTCATTAAGAAAATAAATGTCTTTATCATAAGCACAAACGCCACCTGCTATACACGCACACACACCCACACACACACGGGCTTACTTAAAATTTCATAATTTCAACTAAATGCAAAACACGCCCAAGCAAAAACTTATCAAAGCAAAGCAACAAAAACAACACAAACAAAAACACGCAACGCAGCAGAAGCCAATTCCCTGCAAGTGCAAGTGAGCTAGAACACGGCAGATATATATGGAGAGTGGAAGAGTGAGCGAGAGAGAGAGGAGTATCTGAGCGAGAGAGACTAACGCGGCGCCCAAAAGGGGGAGCCGCAGCTACGTGCGCTTGGGCCTCCCCTCTCTCTCTCTCTCTCTCTCTCACTCCTGCTCCAGCTCCAGCTCTCTGTACAACTGCTGCACTGTTTGTTTATCGTTCGCCTTTCGGTCGCTTCGTCGTTTGGTCGCTTCGGCGTTCGGTCGGTCGCTTCGTACTCCCCAACATGGCCGACATGACTGCTCTGCGCGCCGCAGGCTTCATTAGGCAGCGTGATTCCTTTTTCATTTGTATTTATGCATGTATTTGCTGTGTTCGTCCCTTTTGTTTGTCGACGACGCCCCTTTTATGGGAATTTCTCTCATTGTGCGTGTGTGTGTGTCTATGTGTGTGCGTGCGCGTGCACTTTAAATTCGTAATAATAAAAACTCAATGAGCCGTCATTTGCTTGTCACTGCCGCGTCTGAATGCACAATCACACACACACATACATATATATAAAGAAGCCCCGAGTGAAGAATATAATTCCCCTAGTATTTAAAGAGCAAACTTCCCACGTTAAATAACGGAAAGCAACAATTTAAATCGTCAGTCATAAATCTCAAAATGGCAATATTTTTGACATGCTTTTAGCATGTTTATACATATTTATGGCCAAATTGCTGCGCAGCCGCCTGTCAATTTCTAATCGCTGGCGGGTGTGAGGGGGTCAAGCAAACAAAAACCCATTTAATTACAAATCGGCTTAAATTGAAACACCTTAATTGGCATTAACTTCAGGCAACAAAAAAAAGACAGAAACAAAAAAAATATGCGCCTCGCAGCAGCAGCAGCAGCAAGCGGCAATTAATCAAACTGGAAATCAATTTACTCTTTCGCCCGCTCTCGCTCTGCCGCACGCAACCAACTATCTCGCTTGCGCACAGCAGAAACGTGAGGCGGCGGGAGGCCGTCTTTTGGGATTTATAGCATGCCACATTAAACAAATATACACATGTACACACACACAGCCAGGCTCACACATGCATACACATTCATACATAAATATATATGAGAAGTGTTTGGTTAGGTTTGCTTACTTGCCTTTTTATAAATCCAAAATAATCGCAATTTCTGCTGTTGATATGCTCGTTCCTGCTTCATAGACGACAGCATGCAGTCGTTGTTGTTGCTGTTGTTGTTGTTGTTTTTTGTTTAGTTTTTGTTGGCGGCGGCGTTGGGGGAGAGTGAGAGTGGTGAGTGGTTGGGTGAGTGTGTGGTGGGGAGCAAGGTGCGAACGAGGATTTTCGTTGCCTGCTGGCTTGCTCGCGCAGCGACCCTTGCACTCGCGTGCGACAGAGACCGAGCGTGAGTGAGTGAGTGAAGCGTGCGGCCCGCAAAGTGAGCAGCGATTTTTAGGTAGTAATAATCCACAAAAGAAACGCCGACGCCGACGACGACGACGTTGCTGCTGCTGCACACAGGAAATGTAAATCCAAAAATTTTCGTTGTAGGCAGAGCTTTCCTTTTCACGTCGTAGTTGTTGTTGTTGTTGTTGTTGTTGTAGCCAATCTCAAGAATTATTTGCCATTTATGTAAGCGCAAGAGCGAGAAGAGTAGAGATTGCGCACACTCTTTTACTTTTTGCTGTTATTACTTTTTTTATTTGACAAATATGCTGCTGGCAAATTTTCTTGTTTTTTTTTTCACTGCATGAACTTTTTTATGAGGTTAGTTGTTTTCTTTTTTTTTTTTCTACAAATACAAAAACGGCACTTTGTGTGAGAGCGAGAGCGCGCGACGCGGCGTGTTTGTGTGTGTATGTTTGGAGCGCATACACACACATACACATGTAGAGCTCGAAGTAAAAAATGCACGGGGGAGTTAGTTTTACAACAAAATGACCGACCGAACGACAAACAGACAGACCGACCGAGCGACCGACCCGACGCACGCGCGCAGACGTCACAATTAGTGAGAGCGACTAAGCGACCAGCGACGAACGTTTGTCGGCGTTCTTTTACCGCAATGTTTGTGCGAAACATAAAAAAAAACCTCGCACATACATACATACAGCTATACGTGCGCATACATGTATGCGTCGCATTTATAAACACACAAACATTTGCCTTAACGCCAACAACGTCGCTGCGACGCTTCTGCTGCCCAACATTGTTGCTATAACCGAAAAAAAAAATAAAAACTGTCGCTCAGTGCAGTCGTAGAAGCGAGAGCGACAGAGAGAGAGAGCGAGAGAGACGCACACATACAGATGCACTGCTCATGCGAGAGAAGACGACGAGCGCGCTGTATAGAAATTTTATTCCGGTATTATACGGCTGCTGTGGTTGTAGTTGTTGTTGTTGGTGGCAACATATTGCCACTGCCTTTTTGGCCGTTTTACTACTATTGCGGCGAGTGCTTACTACTTTTTTGTTCGCTTCAGTATTGCTGTATGGTAGTATATATATGTTTGTGTGCTTGTGTAGCTTTGCTTGTATGTCAGCGACTACTGATGATGATGATTACGCTGCTCTTTTCACACATACACATATATACACACACACGCACGCACGCATAACAGTCAAGCCCAAGTGGGTAATTTGTTTTATGAGTAGCGGCGGCAAATAGCACTTGTGCATTGTTGTTGTTGTTGTTGTTGCTGTTTCTTGTGAATGACAGACAGCCAACGAGTAATAATTTTTAATGCGTTTTTGGCATTTCTACACTGCTGCTGGTTAATTGCTTAAAAGACTCATACAAACACACAAACATACACCGAGAAACGCACAAGGCGAGAAACGCACTGCGACGCACACGGACTAGAGGAGGCAAAGACGAGCGACAATTTTTTTTCAACACTTCTTTTGTGTTGCTTGAATAATTTATTGCACACACACACACATATACACATATGAGCACTTTATTATTTGCATAAAATATGATTTAATACCTTTGCCTATTTGCTCATGGAAATCTTTTGGTTTAGCACTCAATTTATGCTAAGAATGTTGGATTGTTTTTTTCTTATTATTTTTTGTTATTTCTCATAGAATTTTTCGCCTAGTTTGCGTCGACAGTGTTTCATCCGTACTGTCCGCCACGAAGGAGCAACGCGTACAAAAAGCGCATAAATTGAGCGGCTCTCGCTGGCAACACAGCGGCGCGCAAGCTAGGGTTGCCAGACAAACTATTCATGTAAACAAGCCAATATATCAACAACCTATTTAGCTTATTTTCAAATGTATCGAATTAAACTGGTTTTTAAAGTACGGCAAATATGAACATGTTGTTCTTAACTACATTTTTATGGAAATATAGCTGCTATTTTATAAAACTGTTTGTGACTCGACAACTCTGCGGCATTTGCACACGCATGCCGCACACTAAAGCATTCCCATGCACATACACGTCGCACTCTCTGAGAGGAATTTCTTTAATGGCGGCGTTTTTGCTGTGCGCTCGCTCTCCGAGCGCTCTCGTTCTCGCTCGCGCTCAACGTCAGTGTTGCTGGCTGCTGCTGACGCCATGTTGCGCAGTGCCGCTCTATGTTTATCTCTTTTCATTTTGTTTACTGTGACGTCGTGTGGTCTCACTTGCCAGCATTGCTGCTGCTCCTTTTTTCGAGTTTCTTATTGCCAACATTAAGTTGGTGTATGGCACAGGCGCAGCCAGACGAACACGAATCCAATTAGATTAATATTATATATACGAATTTAATGTACATCTGCTTAAAATAAGTGAACAGGTGGGCAGGTGACTACGACAGCGAAAATAATTTTTAATTGATTGAAAAAAAAAGCATTGAGCTAAGCTGGAATTAATTTGTTTTCATATTGTGCATGCAGGGTATTTTGCAGTCTAGATCATAGCAATCTCTTATTTTTGCCTTTGCAAATTGTTTTTGGTTGATGAGCAGAGAGCGCGCGGCAGCGCTGGCGACGTTCTCGTTGTCAATGTGCGTGCGGATTGATTACTGATTGGCATGTCGTTTGGCTGTTGCCGTTTCAACGACGACACCGGCAGCGCAGTCGACTGCGCAGCGTCGGCTACTTTTTATTTTTTTTCGTTGCTTTGCTTTGCTTGCTTGTTGTTACCTCCGTTGCTTCTTGTTATGGTTGTTGTAGTTGTTGCTGCGCTCGAGCACATAATGACATAATGAGATTTATTAGGCGCAAAATAAAGCCATAACGTTCCGTTTGACCTTTGTGTAACTTTGACTGTCGTAATATTGTTTTCCTTTTTGGCAGGACACGTGCCCAAGCTTATTACATATCGGATGACACATTCTAAAGCTTTTCCCAATTGGACACGAATCAGTCATCATCGTCTGGCAATGTACTCGCTCTTGTTGTTGTAGTAGTTGTTGTTGTTCTTCATTTGAAATTCGCATTTGAATGTTGCCTTTGCTGCCATTGAGGCAAAAAGGCAAATAAACGTTGTCTGTCGCTGCTTTCGTCCTTTTTTTAGTTTGTTTTTTTTTTTTTTGTATTTCTGTTGCCTCTTATGTCCCATTTGTGTGCCGAAAAACTTGTTTGTGCTTCAACCTAATATACTGAGCGGGTCTCCCTTTGCCATTGCCCCCGCCCGCCCCGCTCGCCCCGCCAGCCCGTTCGCTTGTGAAGTGCCTTTGCTGGTTGTTTTCTATTGGCATTCGTGCACGCTCTTTCAATTTTATTGCTGTGATTCTGATTCTAGTTGGATTTGACTACGCACACACTTACTCACACACACACACACACACACACACGCACACTTACTCACACACATGTGAAGTTGTGTATTTTTGTGTGCTTTTGGGAATTGATATCCTTGTGCGCTTTTCGCTAAAGTTGAAATATTTTTCATTTTATTGCTTGCCATCTCTCTCTTCATCTCACCCTCTCCCCCCTCTTTATCTCTCACCCAGGCTCTCACACATCAACCAGCAGCTTGGCAATATTTCAAATCCGGCGTGGCGCATAGGCAAAATGCCTGCTGCCGCTGTCAACTGCCGGCAACAACCGCCCCGCCCCCGCTCCCACGCCCCGCCCATCGTCACACCCGCTCACTTTATGGCTCAGTGCCCTCAGCAAAGGGACCTCAATTTGGCCAAAAAGGACTCCTGCAGCTTTGTGCGCGAGTGTGTGTGTGTGTGTGTGTGTGTGTGTGTGGGGGCGTTCAGTTTGAAAACTGTATATAATTCATACTACAAAGCGGCTTTGTTGCCACAAAATGTTGCACATCGTTTTCGATTTGCTGGCCCACAACTGCGCTAACCCTCCCCGCCGCTCCCCGTCTGATTATGTAATTATGTGAAATTTGTGCGAATGCTAATGAAGCTATTAATATTTTATGCGCCATTTAAACAGAGCGCAGCGTCAGCCACAAGGTCCTTGTAATGGTGTAAAGGAGCACACAGCATGAATAATAAACAAGACAGACCCACACACACACACACACACACACACAGACACACGCACACAGACAAAAACTGGCAAAAGGCGCATAAGCAACAAGAATAACAACAACAACAACAACAACAACAACGAGTCATGACAAGTCCAAGTTGCCATTAGCAAATACAACAATTGGACAGACAGACAGACAGACAGAGAGACAGTTAGTCAGCCGCAGGACGTTGAGCGTGTGTGAATCCTTGGCTGCCTCCTTGGTGGCAAAGCTGTGCCAGCGGGCATAATGTGATTTTCAAGCAAACACATGCACAGGTACAGTGAAAGCTCTGCCAACGGACAGCTGCCTGAGATGGACATCCTCCGAAGCCAAAGCCAATTTTTGCAGTCAAAAGTCAAAAGCTTCTTTAGCCGAAAGAATTTAAACAAATAATAAAAAATGTATGCAAGTTAATTAAAAGTGTTTCCTAATGTTTTTTATTTGCATTTTTCTTATTTCCTTAGTTTTTATAATTTTCTTAATTTTCCTTAGTGTTTTCCTTAATTCCACTGCCTAAAAAGAAAGCTTCGTCCGCTCAAGCGAGCTAATACTGTGCACATAAAGCAAAGTCACGCACACACGCACACGCACACACTCACGCGCGCACACATCGACAGGCAGAGAGCTTTGCATATTTGTGCTTTGGCTTGTCGACTGTGTGCCTGTGTTTGTGTCGCCCGCTGCAAGCGTATAAATATTTATGCCAACATATTCTAGTCGCATGACTATCCAAACAACACGCGCAGCAGCCGCCACTCACACACACACACACACACTCACACACCTGCCACACGATTGGGCTGTCCACCTAATGCTAATAGAAATGGAATTGCCAGCTGACATAGCTATGCACACACGCACACGAACACCCACACACACACAGACACATGCCCGAGGGAACAAATGAAAAGCATTTTCAAGTTGTCAGCTTCCAAGGGCCAAAACAGAATTTTGTACATTTTGTTGCAAAATATGATTTCATTGTGCTTAAATTGAATTAAATTTTTTTATATATTTGTTGTTGTTGTTGTTTTTATATATTTTGAGTGTTGTTGCCTGCCTGTCGCACGTTCTGACGTTTTGCGCGCTCTCGCTTTGGCGAACAACCGTTAAAGTCGCAGCTGCGTTGCTTGGCGCTCTCGCTCTCGCTCGCACTCGCACGTTTTGTGTTTTTTATTTTTCTGCCTTTGGTAGCGGAAGCGGATATTTTCAACGCGCCATTGTTATTTTTTGAGTGCGGGAAATTGCTGGGCGC